AAAAGATGAAGTTCAGTGCATTGGAGCTGCAGGAGTACCTTGATACGTACAACAGCAGAGAGGAGGCTGCTGTATCGGTAATTCTACCTTACTTACTGTACATATCTTCTATTTTTCAATGCAAGGGGGCAATTAAAAACATTTCACCTTCCTGTCTCAGTGGCTGCGGAACTGTAAGGATACATTTCCTAGATGTCCTGTTGAAAATGTGGTCACCTGCCAACCTGGAGACTCAGAAGAAAAGGTACATTCTTCACTCTAAAATACAAACTTTTTTAACTTTCCTGAAAACAGATTGTCTAAATACCTAAGCCAGTTCTCTTGCTTCTCCACAATGTTGTGGCACTAAACTGTTTGTCTTATCTGCGCTACTAATTCTTTATAGCCTGACTTTAGCAGTCATGGGGAATACAATGCTTTGCATGTGTTTGATTGATGGTCTGTCTTCCTCTCACCTCACTCTGATGCCCTAACATGCTCTATCGCTGTGTAGCAAATGGAGTCTCTTGCAGTAAGTTATCTCACAAGTTTCTCTACCTTACTGAAATAAGCTGCTTAACTTACTTTTCATAAGACTATCAGCTAATTAACTGTGTGCCTATGTAAATCTATGAAGAATAAGTAAATGTGTTTTTAATAATACCAGTTTGTCTGACTTCAGTTTTCCTCATGACTCTTCCAGCAACTGGAGCTTTGCCAGAGGCTCTATAAGTTGCACTTCCAGCTCCTCTTACTGTTCCAGTCCTACTGTTCGCTCATTGGTCAGGTTCACGCCATCAGCTCTGTGCCAGAGGTAAATCACATCAATGTTAACAGATACAGCTTTTGTACTTATATTACAAAATTCATCCTGCATGCCTCTAACAGTGTAAAGCTTGAAAATCTCTGTTTTACAAACTATCTGTACACACCTAATCTCCACCTTCCACCCCTTAGCTGCTAAACATGTCTCGAGAGCTCACGGATCTGAAAAGCAGTCTGCAGGCGGCAGAGGCAGCTGTAGCTAGCGACCTTGAACACAAACACCTGGCCCACACCCACGCACATGCTGCGCAGTTGGCAGCCATGGTTGTCCCTGACTTTCCCACCTCTGAGGTAGCGGTGCAGGCCATACTGGAGTGCCTTAGGAGCCACGAGTTCACCAAGGCTGTGTGCTACATCCAGGAGTGCAGGTGAGGGAGGCTCTAGAGATTAAAGGAATGTGTTGTAAAAGATTATAATGAGATTTTTCTGAGTGTACAATAAAAAAAGACAAAAAAATTAAATGCTTAAACTGAAAGTTTACAATATTATAAAACACCCCAAATATTAAGTAAACACATTCACACAAAGCATGTGCTAGTTGTGTGCTCTCATCTTGAACCTGTTTGAACTCCTCATCAGGAGGCAGTGGCCCAGCGGCGTGTTTGGTGGCAGCTCAGAGACCGAGGTTCAAACGCTGCTCAACATCTACTTCCGTCATCAGACCCTGGGCCAGACGGGCACCATCGCTCTGGTGGGCTCCCGGCAGGACCTCAGCCTCATCTGTTCCAAGTTGCTGGAGCTCAACGGCGAGATCCGCGACATGATCCGCCGCGCCCAGGGTTACCGGGTCGTCACAACTTACCTCCCCGACTCCAGCGCCTCCGGGACAAGTCTCTGACAGGACCTCAGGGGCCCCCAGCCCCCTTGCTCCCCTCCTTCATCTCCTCCACATATACAGTCATTGAAAACAGCCCCGCCTTCACCATTTCAACCTGCTCTTACAGAGGAGGCTCAGCATCCGCACACATGGCCGCTCCCTCCTCCGATATCTCTGCTTCCTCGGCTACACAGCTTCAGACAGACACCTCACTGCCTGACCCAACAGCAGAACAAGAACCATATGTAGATAAGGATGTACTCCTTCCGCTGCTGTCCTCACTGTCATCCACTGCAAACTGTGATGTCTCTTTGCATGATTTCCACAAACCAGGCCAGCGAGATTATACACTGCCGCGCACAAGACAGCCAAGGAGGATTAATTTCAGTGAGAACACAAGCTTGTACAGCCCTTTCAGAGTGTATTCATCACACATGTCTGCTCTGTCAGACAAAACCACAGCGTCATCATTTCCACCCAACGTCCTCCCGACTGTGGCGTCAGAGCCGAACTCCCTCACTCGCTCTGAATCAAATGTTATTTTTCAAGGGTCACATCTTCCCCGTTTTCCACGCTCCCCGTACAAACACCCAGACAGACACGACTCTCCTTCAACCTACTCCCATTCTCCATCATCATCATCATCATCTGTTTCTCCTGCTCCAGCCCTCCCTCCCTACCCCACAGGCCCCGAGGAGGCCGCGGCATGGGGGTGCTGCTGCTCCCTCAGAGAGGGAGCGACACCCTTATCTCGCTACCTCGGGAAAGTGGGGCAAGCCGCTCTGCCCTTGTTGAAAGTCAGAGAGCTCCTGAATACTGAACCGTCGGATGTCCAGACCTGAAACATAATTTGATCATTTCTAATCAAAAAAACAGATCTTTGTATCTGGAGAAGTGACACACATGAAGATTTTCCTCACACGGGTACATCTTTGATCTTACTGGAAACTGCAGATAGCTGCGTGCTGAAAGTGAAAGTCCTGATTTTATTTTCAGAGCTGCATATTTTAAAAATTTCAGCCTAGGTTTATTTCTGCTTGATCTGCACCTTTGAAGGCTTCTAGCTTGGACCTGTACTTTGCCTCTCAGAGGAACTTGACTGTCACTGCCTTCTTCAGTAAGGTGGTGATCTAGTGAAGGCGTCATAAGAAGCAGTGAGGAAAATGGCTGTGACACTCTGTAGCATCACTGGAAAAGTTTCATATTTTGCACCAAATGAGATGTTTGTTAGTTTTTTTTTTAAATGTTACAGATAGAAGATTATGTGACTAAGAGAAAAGGAATAAAGGCTTTCACTTTTCTCAGAGATGGAAAAGCCAAATGCTGGAGGAGCTGTTTTGAGATCTCCACTGGAAGAAGCTGTGCAATGCATGAGCCGAAATATTCTACTGTACCCCAAAAAAAAGTTCCACCTGGGGCTGACTGAAGGACTGATGCAGACGCTTGAAGATCATTTCCTATTGCTGCTCTGCATCAGCCAATCAGCGCTTCCTCTGACAACTGTTGCGAACACTGGTGGACTGTTTGTGCCGTTCTGTCTGTGGCATGCACTCCTCTCTGGCTAGCTGTAGCATCATTAGCGAGCGTGCGCACTGTATTTCTCACTGTCGTGCTCTGTTATATGTTGTGTCCTTACGCCAGGAGGACGTTGCATGTACATTCAAATATTTCGTCTGTCGGTAACCTGTTAATTATCGTTAGCGTGGCACAGCCATGGTAGCATTGTTAGTGTATGGTTTGTAGTTGCACATAAGGAAAATGCTGACATCCATCTAATATTGTCGATGTTAAAGCAAAACCCAACTGCTTACCGTCATCAGCCCTTATTTTCCTTTCACTGTACAAACGTCTTGATTCCTATTTATATCCGATCAGCAAGACAGCACTCGTTTGACTTTTATATTGATGTTTGTTCTTTCAGACCCAACTGCCATGCATGCATCTTCAGTGTTCTGTATGGAGTGTTGGAATTATTTATTAACAAAGTTATGTTTTATCTGAAAGATACATTTGTATGAGGTACACATGGGAGCTTCAAGCTCAGGTGGGTGTTTTTTTGTTTTGTTTTCTGTGTGGGAGAACGTGTGTTTGCATGCCATACAAGAAGTTGCACATTTTTAAAAGCTTTTTAGATGAAGACCGTAGTTGTTTTTTCACCGTGTAAATACTTTTACAGCTTTTGTGAACTTGTTTTGAGTTGGAGCTCTGTACAAATTGGTGTCAAAGTAAAGACATATCAAAACTACTTCTCTGAATTCCAGTCCATCATTGAGACACACAGGACAACATACACCTAAGGAGAATTTGGAGAGACCAATTACCGGTCATGTTTTTGTTACTGGTGTGGTACCCAGAGAGAACCCGTGCATGCAGATTGATAACATACAAACTCCATGCAGAAAAATCTCAGAGCAGAATTCAAACCCAGGACCTTCTGACAGCCCGATCAACTGTGCAGCCTCACATGCAACATCCATACTACACATTTGACAGCAAGCACAGTCTTTCAAATTATTTTTATTACATAATCCAATGTATATAAAGTTAGATTTTTTTTTTTCTGGAGCCAATAATGAAAAGCAAAACTAATGCTTTAATTTTCCTTTTAAAGTACCAAAAATCTATGGTACATTTTCTTCTGTCACACAGTTTGTGCATGTATAGTCTTGCAAGGACTTTATTAAAATCTAAAAAAATATATAAAAATTTGAATTTGGTGAATGTTTTTAGAAAAATTATATTAGATTGCTTAATTCCACAGTAAATATTTCTTGTACGATTGATTACTTACAAATAATGAAAACCAAAAATTCAGTGTCTGAGCAATTTTGAATATTGTGAAATTATCCATTAATGTCACACCCTAGTCAGTACCAAAGCTATCAGAGTGCTGTAGCCAACCAGTTACAGAAAAGTGAGGAGCTTCAACCTCCAGAATGTCAAGCAAATTCCATTTAGAATTGATGAACTTTACAAGGAGCTGGAGTCGGTGTCATGAGTCACAGTATGCCAAGCCTCTGCTGAACCAGAGACAAGAAAGTCTGACTGGGGCCAAGGACAGAACTGTGTCAAGGTGGTCTGAAGTTCTCAGATGAAAGAAACTTGCTTTTCATTTGGAAAAGGTTAAAATTTCTCAATTCTTCCCAGACCCAATTCTAAGCACTGCTCTTTATTCTAGGACTGAAGTGTGGATTACCATTTGTAGAGGATTTGAACCTGAAACTCTGACCACAGTAATATACTTTTAATTTAAGTATCAAGTGATAATTCACAGTTGGAGTTTTACAATTGTGTTGACTTCATGCCAAGTATTGAATTGGGTCAGTTTCTCTGCAGCTCATCCATTTTAAACCCTGAAAAGCACAAAACTAAACTGAACTTCAGTAGAAACTTTTATTCCAGTATTCTTGACTCACCCCCCAACATTCACATTTCTACAAAGTGCAACTTAGAATTTATTAACTTTGCATTTTACAGAAACCCATACACCCAGAGTGAACCCTCTAGCAATTTGAGATTGTCAGACAATCCAGCTGGTCAAAGCATGTTGCAGGCAAGTAAGGGGTGGCTTCCGGTGACAGACTTGAGCAAAACCCCAAGCCATGCAATGAAATTCAACCACTATGGAGTCGGCTCAGACGATATATTTGAAGCTGTATGTGGCGTCGCATGGCAGCCTCATGTCTTTACAGCGACAGCACAGGTCTTTACGATGAGGCCTCTTCATGTTGATGCGTCTCTGCTTCTTCTCACAGCTGCAGCAAGTCTGAGAGCAACCCTGCAAAAATAGTTAAGATCATCTGCTTATGTTCTGAACTCTTCAAACAGAAAACCTTTGATGCCAAACCCAGGCAAAGGTGCTGTACCTTACAGACTATAGACTCCACTCTGTACGGGTTTAACCCCACCTGGCACTTTCGGCAGAGCTGCTTGTAGTACACCTAATGAAAAAATAGCTAAAATGATTCATGGAAATCTGCAGTATGCTATAGTTTGTAGCTGATCACTCACCTTATAGGAGCCAGAGATGCACCAAACATAAGCACTCTCCCACCGGATGTTGCACTTTTTACAGTGGAAGAAGCCATATCGCTGTTCCAGGAACTTAAAAGGTAAATTAATAAATACAAATGAAGATGCATCATATATAGGATTTTAGAAGGTGCCACTTGACGCATTTCGGATCTTTTAATCCAACAAGTTGTCCGAAACCCACCTGAAAGTTTGGGCTCTTGGAGGATCGAGGAATCGGTGTCTTGAAGCCGTTTTCTAAATTCTCGCCACTGTGATCCGTGTCAGCATCAGACTTGGCTTGGCCAGAAGCTTCCAGTGGATCCTGTCCAGCGCCATCGCTGAGACTCTTCAGGAAGACCCTGCGGTCAAACACAAGCGAGTAGATGGACACAGGTCTGAGGAAACGCTGGTTGCCCAAAGGCGGCGTGCCTAACAACGCCTCGCCCTCCGCTTTGGTCACATCGAGGCTTTCGTCATGCGTCGTGCAGCTGCTGCAGGAGGCGGGATGTTCGACGTAGAGCAGCGTTTTTGGACCTAAAGAACACTGAACCACCTTGTCCACCATCGCGTTCACCTGCACGCCGCACTCTTTGGTGTTCACCTTCCCGCAGGGCGGTAGAGGTGAACTGTAAATGGGTTTGCAGATCTCCAGGTAGTTGGGGGCCTTAATAATGATAAAACGGCCTTCTCCATTCCCCCAGCTGCCCCCCTGAGCTGGGGGAGCTCCATAGCCGCTGAAGGGCAGGAACGTGGACAGGACCCCTCCATCCTGGAGCCATGAGACAGGTGCAAGAGGCTCTTTGTGGGATTTATACACATCCGGTCTGGAAGGCACTGATTGCTTAATTAATGCCTGGGTGTGCGGGTTTGAGCTGAAACGGTCCAAAACTCTTCAGAACCACCCAAAGGCAAATTATGAGCCTATTTTTTTTTTTTTTTTTTTTTTTATCGGAACCCAATGAAAAAACTTTAAAACTGGTTTTATACAAATTTAAAATACAGACAAATTACTAACGTAAACTCAAAGTTGGTAACAGTAATATTTATAGTGAACAAGTTGGTAACAGTTTAGCATTAGAAAGAACTTTATTGCCTTTTGCTGTAGACTAAAAGACTTTTACTGTTCTGCAGACTGACTACTGTGGAGAAGGAACTGCTCCAGTGGGGCGAGGTCGTTGAACTGATGGACACCAAACTGTCCAGACTGAGAGGAGGTCGGCTGAAATCCTGTCTGTGTCTCTGGGTCGTGTAGAGATGGAATATTGTAGCCAATACCTTCTCAGGGTGCACATATTGATGCACATATTGATGCGATGATGGATTTGAAGATGAGAGTTTGGAAGTTTAGCATCATTTTAACAGGGATATAAACTTTTTATAGGTGTCATGTGAAATACAACCCTTGCTGACCCTTGTTGGTGAGTATTTAGCTCCAGCTATTTGGCACTTCTGTCTCTCCTCCATTTGTATGCGTCTACAGTAGAGCTCAAATCACATATATATGGTGTTAGGGTGCCCCCTAAAGGTCATCTGTCTTTGTGTGCCTATGCACACAAAGAAAGGTGTAAATACGCCTTTCTTTTAAGGTTCTGGAAGCCAGTGGATGTTTTCTGTAGAAACACTTAAAATATATGTCTGTTGGCAAAATGTATGCAAACATATAGTAGCTTTATGTGGTTAAAACATACAAATGTTAGCTTAATTAAATATGTAAAATATGAATAGTTTAATGGCTTGTCTGTGGCACAACAATAAATATTTTAAGATGACATGAACAGTGGTGTTCCTTTGTTAGAAAGCCCTCAAAGTGGCAGGGATTCTTAGGTAAAGATGGAGAGTGCTTTGTAGAATATTTTGCAGAATAAAGTTAGCATTCAAATGACATTGTTATGATTATTTGAGGGAAATAAGAGTATGTGTGGTTTTTATTGATTAATTATTGCTTTTCTATGCGTTTATAATACTAACATAAAAATTTATTTTATAACACTATTGGGCTTCAAGGTTTAAAAATCAGAAATTCAAATAAACTTGCACAAATGTTCATATGAATGTTACAAAACAAAATAAAAATATCATTATTTTTTCCTAAACAGGGCTACCACATAAAACTATAATATTGTTTATTCTGCTCAAGTTTTTTGTATTTTAAAACTGGCTATCCACTAGTTTCAAGCGCTTTCGGGTTCTCTGAATTTGATAAAGTTTTATACAAGTACAATTCATTTACTTGTTTTTCAAAACACGTATGTTGTTATATGTAGTCACTACTTTATAGAATACCAAGTACAAATCTATCTGTATTATTTATATAAACATTTGAACTGAGATTAACATAGATTCGAGTGTCATTTGAACGTATCAGTAAAACTACTAGGACTCGCCTTTAGGTGGCGCCACACGTTCATCAATAGTTTGTACCCATGGGCACTGAATCTAAAGCATATTGGCGCCATTTTGGAGCTAGGAGGGGGAAGAGAGCTGCAGAGGAGGACACGATTTATTACAATTCACGCTTACAGGTAAGAAATGCACAAATAGAGAAATTCGGAAGATCGTGGAATAGTTCTATGTTTATTCCCGCATCTGAAAAAATATATGAGCGAGTTTACAGCGGCGGGGTGGTCTGATTTCCATGCGGCGAACGGAGGAGTGCAGCCCGCCTTCCTCTCCTGTGTTCTCGGTTCCCTTGTCTCGATTCTCCGTGTTACTTTGACTTGGTCCTGCGCCGTAAAATGGTTAGCCGGGATAATATTAGCCTATTGGGCTAGCTTACTGTCACCACAGTGAAAATATGGTGTACCGTCTTAGTTGTACGCTTGAAAACGGGACAGTTCTCGCCATATAACGGTAGTTAGCCGGGGTGTTTTGTTACTGTCTATCCGCCCTCTGTCACTGAGATTGCTGCTGCTAATGTTAGCTCTACCATGCTAGTTGATGGTGTGCAGACCGACAAGCTAACAGCAGCTAATTGTGTTAGCCACATTATAGCAACCGAGCAGTCCGCATACATACTGCTGTGATGCAATGACAATAACGTCTTTGCTTAAAAGCGTCGCCCGTTTCTCTGTAAACCTACTGAAAATGATGCTGTTTGTATTTAGATGTAATGCCTTTATTGTGGGAGGATTTTCTTTCTTTTTTATCGCTCATAATGGCTGCGTTATTTTGCGGTAGTACGGATGGGCAGTAACGTCAACGCATAGAAAACTATTTATTTATGTTGGAGTTTGCGCTATCGAAAGTTGGCACCATTGGGCACTAGAAGTAGTGTAGTCCAGAATGACGGAAGAAAGCTGGGCTTTACCAAACCTGGTCATTGCATCCTGGTTTAATTGGTCAAACTCCAAAGTTAGCTGAGGAGGAGGAGGATCTTTTATAACAGCATGAGCCGTCACACTAGTTACAGCACTCATTTTAAACCATTAAGTTTCAGGCTAATATCAATTGCTGTAAGAAAACTTTGAAAATGCTGCAGTATAAAGTGATAAAAGTTATTGTTGAAAACTAAATTAGAGAATAACACAAGTATAATAAAATACTGTAAATATGTTTGTGAAAATAAACTATGCACAAAATGCTTATTAGAAAGTATGCAGAAAAGAGAAAAAGTACACATTTTAAATAAAATTGTATTTTATAATTTTCATACTGTTTTTTTGAAAATACTATTTTCATAAAATAGTATGTCTTTGGTATATTTTCTGTTATCATTCCCCTGTGATAAGAGGAAAATAAATGTTTCTGCTAAAATAAAGGAAATTGGAAATGTGCACGTTTAAAAATGTACTGTGCTTGATAGGAAAATAAACTTTATAAATAGAAAAGAAAATATATAGTGAATGTAACTGTTATATATTGTGGTCACCTTTTACCTGCATATCCAACAACCATTCATGAATTAATTATCGAAAATATTTACCTGTCCAGAAACTGGTTTCAGTGAAGTAGGAGTCAAATAAATCACCATGATAAAAAGGAGACTTCAGTAATCTAGACATTGCATGCTGATCATTTGACAACCACTTTCAGCAGCTGCTTTGTTTTTTTTTTTTTTGCAGCTGTCATCTTGAGATTTATTTACAAAGATTATAGTTAGAGGTTGTTTGGAAATTTGAATTATATGATCAGGATGTTTTCACATTGATTGTCAAGAATAAGTAGATACAGCAGTCAGGGTTTTATTGCTTTGTTCCAGGCCAATTTCATTTGAGATGTAAAAAATTGTGTGAACTTTGTTTCAATTGAGTAGTGAGATGTAACTTTCCAAACTGCCAAATTGCTCTCCTAATTTCAACACAAGTTTGTTCTTATAACTGTACATACTTTTCTGTTAATTTCCAGTGATGTGGTTGAACATTGTGATCATAATCAATTCTGGTTAACTCACATTTTTCTTTCACTTCTCTTTTTTCCTGTTCTCCTCATCCCCTTCCTGTTGTCATAGAAGACAGAGTCCTTCAAAGTAGCAATGAGCGTTTGTTATTGCCAAATAGTTTGTAATTGGATGGATCTGAAATGAGAGAGCCAACTAAATGTTGCACCAAAGCAGTCATTTGCAAGGGGCAGTATTAGACATATTGAAAATAACAATTACAATTTAGTATGCTGTATTGCTCATAGCACATTGTTTTCCTCATTAAATGCTTGCAGGAGAGATCTCAGTCAGGCTGTAGCTGTACTAGTCGATACAGATTTCTGTTATTCTTTAATGTCTGACATGCTTTGTTTACAAGCTGAATCTTAGCTAAATCAGACATTGACTAAATAAAGGGATGTTCATTCATAGAAGCAGCTTTGAAGTCTGCAGTAAATGAAAGAAAAACAATATTATTCCCCATTCATGCATCAAAGCACAACTCTCTAAAATATTGAAGAGGAGCCAAAGAACACACTGTTTGTTGATGTTTTAAGAGACTGAACAAAGTTTATTAAAGTTACTTTTGGGAATTTTACTTTCTCGTTACAGGTTAGAGATGATCAAGGGATCATGGCTAATTTGCATTCCTCTGAAAACTGGGAAATGCAGGATGACAAATATTAATAATTGTTGCTATAACTCAGGAAAGTCAGGGTGTTTGGTCTACCACAAGGTGATTTTACAGTTTGGTTCTCACTTAGTTTGCTCTTTTTTAATCTAACCAAATGTACAGCTGATCATTTATTTCCAGTCTTCTCTAAAAGCTGCTGATGCAGTTGAGTATTCATGATGGTTAAGTAGCCTAGCAACAGTTGTGACTGGTTTGTTTTGAATGCTCTGCAGGCAGACGTCCAAAACACATGGATTTATTATAAACAAAGCATTTCTTCCAACATTCAGCTCCCTTCACTTATTGCTTTAATGCAACTTATTTTTTTCATCTACAAAACCCTGGTTGTTTTTGTTTGGCTGATTTTTGCAGAAAATTATATTCCAATGTCTTTAGTTTGAAACTACAAATGCTCTTTGACAAAGTTTACCCATTCCACTGGTTTGTTTCCACATATAGGTCACTGAGGTCACCTTTCCATCCAGCTGGTGTCCAGGTTTCACTCTTGTTCCTGGCTTTCTCTCGTTTTCCATTGCCCACCCACCGGGTTAAAACCAATCTGTCTCTGTCGAGATTCAAATTTGGAAACGAGTTAGCTTTGAGTCCTTAAAGTGGAGGTGGTGTTAAAATGAGCAGAACTGGCAGAGTAGAAGAGTAATAGGGTACAAAGCCCTCTGTTGGGAGCTAAATATGTTTAACTGTGATAAACCAGTAATGAGCCTAAAGTAGCCCAAGCTCAGGATGTTAGGAGAGGAGTATAGCCAGTCCCTTTGTGGTTATTTACTGCTGCGTTTGTGAAATGTTCCCTCATGGATGGTAGCCACACATTCACATCAAGTTGAGAAATAATCTGCTCTGATTGGCTGCCCGGACACTCGGTGTGTGTCTGTGTGGTGCAGCGATGGACTCAGATTTGGCAGCAGCTGTGGGGTGGAAAAGAAGGTCACAATCCAGCAATTTGGCCGCCTGCCAATTTCCAATGGTGTGTGTTTGCGTGTGTGTTGGTCTCTGCATGTGTGTGTGTTTGCTGAAGCTTGACGGCAGCTACTGAGAATTCTGAGAACTTGCGGTTCATAAATGTGTATTACATCTTCCTGACCCAAACAGTTTCACTGTAATGGAGCACAATTTTCAGTGTTAAAAAACATAAAATTGCTAAACAAACTAGTTTGCTTTACAGAAATTGGACTGAACATATAATTGCATTTGTGTTATGTCATTATTTGAGGAAAATACATATTTTCTAGCCAAAAGCTGCAATTATGTTTGGCATCCAGGAAGCAGCTCTGAGACATTCAAGTAACTGCAGTTGGCTGACAAGATAAACAACTTGGTATTCTGACTTGACTTGTGAAAGATAATATCAGAACTTAATAAATCTGTTGCTAGAGAGACTTTTGCCTTTAATAAAAACAGCACATCAACAGTTGTCCTGCTGCACCAGGCTTCGTGCAGAACCTGTCTTGTTACCTTTGGTGACTCACCAGGAAAAAGTATTAACATATTTAAACATCACATAAAACACCGCAGTGCTGTAGTAGACGGCTGTACAACTGAAATGGGGTCAAACATACATTTAAACATTTTAAAGCAACAACGTTAAATTACTTTGCAATAAAAGAGGTTTTATTGCCAATATATTTTGTCCAATTAGAAAACTTGGGTTCAGTATTTTGTTTATTACATATGTTTGTCAGTGGGTAACATTGGGCCTTTATAAAAATGCCAAACAAAGCCTGGCAGCAGACCTGCAGCCTGGACTTCAAAGCACCATGAGTGGCCTAGGTTTGGGTTTGGATCAGACACTTCAAAGGATCACTGCCTTCATTCGCCATCAAACTGATTCATCATCATCAAAATGATTCAATTGATTGTACTACAATACATTTACTATATCTCGTGCTGGGCAAAAGAACAATTTCAGTATTTCATTGAGAAAAGCCATCAAAATTTTTATTAGGCTTATTTTTAAGCACTTTAGAATGATGGGAACACAATAGTGTTGAATATTTTCCATTATTTTTGGGTTTTACTCAAGCATATTGCTCTTTTGGTATTTGTGAATCAATATATTGCTAGTTAATGTGTGATTATTAATATGTTAGGTCCTGCAAATTTTAAGGGAGATCACTGCTTAGGTTAATTTTCTGAAATTAATTTAATTAGTTATTATTAATGTGTTATAACTTAGTATTGACATTAGGGTTGTCACAGAGTAAAATACTGAGTTGAATTGTTGATTAACCAGATTATAAATCCTAATGGAACAGACAAGACATCCAGTAATTGGGGAAAGGCTCTGAATATATTGTAGGAGTTGGTTAAGAAAAATACTACATGACCATTTGAGGAAATAAAGAACAAACATGGATTAAATAATGACGACTTCTTCAGGTACTTGAAATTGAGGCACTATACTGAGAAACTATTAAATATTAATTTAGATGAGTTGGAATCTGGAGTAATTTTGATGTTTGATGTAGCAAATGAAGCAAATGTAAGAGGAAAATTAATTTCTGAATTGTACACAGAATATAAAAACTAGCTAGCTTAATTAAAGAAGCAAGCTGGAGGCTTCAGAGGAGAACTGGGAGGAAATATGTGAGCAACAGCGGAAAAGATTATGTTCCCTCTCATTGAGAGCTTTTGGCTGGAAGAATATTTTAAGATATTTTATTACACCAGCACAAAAAAATACCAATATACAAGATGTTGGAGGAAATGTGGCAGGATTTAAATAATTTTATTGATAAAGATTTGAGGGTGATTATTTCATTCACATTTGACTTTTATGTAAAGAGGGATAGAAAGGTTAACAAGATGAGCTGATCTATGCATATGGTGAATAGCTATAAGGCAGAGGCTCCTAAAAGGGAAGATTGGCCTAATGTAATTCATATTTAAATGATTTTTCCATCAGATTAGAATCTGGCAAGTGAAAGAATTATTGGAAAAATTGGTTGTATTTTATATTAGATTATATTAGAGATGAGATTTTCTTCACTTGTTTTGGGGGTAAATCTTGTTTTGATATTCTTAGGAAAATAAAAGCTGAAAAAAGTAAATTTGTTCTACGCATGTACAGAATTTGTGTGCAGCTTCTCTTGGTTAGTTTTTATAGGACATTTGGGTGAAAATGTGTAAAATTTGAACGTACACTTGTATCAAAAATACAAATTTAATACATTTTGCAAGTTAAAAAAGAAATAAATTAGGGTCACGCAATATATGGCAAGTCATCACAATATCAGTGTGTGTATAGTCATAACACCAAAGACTGTTTTGAGTGCAATAATTGTTGAATAATATACGACAAGTGTTGTGAACTCTTAATTTACATGTTAATGTGTTGTATGCTAATTTAACCAGGTAGACAGAATCTCATAGCAGCAGATTCTCAAATCAAACACTAAGAATATAATCCAAAATGCCAAATGTTACAGTGATGAAAGAGCAAATGACAAAAATAGGCATATATGACTTTTGTTGTCTAAAGTGCTTTAGTAAATATACAAATATACAATCTAACAATAGGATGCATCTAAGGGTTGTAGGACTTTTTCCCTCCACTTAACTTTCCAATAATGTCTTCAGACGCAGCACTCTTTTGAACAGTTTAGCTTGTTTCATAGTACAGACATCATGCTTGCTTGTAGCTGCTTCAGCCTTGTTTTTGAGCTGCATACTTAATCTTTACTGCGGATTATTTTAGTGATGAATCATTTCTCAAGTTTTTGATCTGCCTACTTCCAGGTGAGCACCGGTACTACTGATAACCATACACTGCTATAAAATGACTTATCTATGTTGATAAACATACATCTCATAAGATTATAAAAACTTAAGGAATAATAAATCACAACATTTTGTCAAGTAATTTTTTTTTCTTCCAAAGTGTCAGTCTTCTGGTTCTGTCCAGAACAAGTCATACATCTTAGAAATCTTTCTCTTCATAGAATTGAGGAGTTTATGTCTTCAAAAATTTTGGTCAGAGCCAGTTCTTATGCTTTCTACTTAGTGAAATTTAATAGGACTGGAGATTATTTTTTCCTAAATAAGGTGCCAGAATTTGCAATTTAATTGTCGGATTCATTGGCAGTCCTGCAAAAAAGCCTGGAACGATCTGGTGGTGTTTTAATAATTTTCCAAGTCTGGATGGAAAGATAAAAATTGAATAAGGAAGCAGAATTTTAGAACCATATAAAACTCAAATTTTGTTTCCCACCACCCCCCTCCATATTTAATGTTTTCCATTTTTGTTTTTCTGAATTCCACTTTTTCCTATTGTAATTATATTCATTAACCAAAAGTGTGCAATGAATGAATGAAAATGATTCAACAAATCAATACCAAACAAGATCCATAATTATTATCTGACACAGACATCACCTTTAAAGTACATGACTGTCAGTCCTTTTATGTTTCGCTTTCCTATTCTGACACCGGCCAAAAGACTCCAGAAACATCTGCATAAGTTTTCCTGCTGGCTGATATTAGCAAATTCTGAGATTCTGCATTTTGTTTCAAATTGTTTGCATAAGCATCTTATTATTATTGTTATTTATTTACAATTTTTACATCTTTTATTTGCTGTGTTTCAGTTTTAAGATTTGATACCACTCATTGATCATTTTGGTTTTTAAATGAAAGATTTATGAAAGATAAAACGGGTGAGTTATGTTGCTTTTCTGAGACATCATCACCCTCCAAAATAATGTTAGAAATTATATATTAATTAGTTATAAATAACTAATATTTAATAAAATAATGTAGAAATAAGGTTATTACACCTCTGATTAACTGACTTTGAAGATTGCTCAATTGATAGCTGTGGTCAGGTTTGTTTTCAGCTGCTATTTTTAGGTCAGAAATGTAAAAGTGGGGTTTAGTTAAATAGCTATTCACATACAAACTGATTTCATAAGGAAAACCTTTGAGACAGACAATATAGAAAATGCTATTATGATGCTATTGCTGAATATTGGATTATAAATTCTACTTATGGATTATAAATTCTACTTTTATTGTTAGTGATCCTATTGACATACACTGAAATATAAACTTTAATTATTTGCAGTAAAAATACAAAGAAATTTCAGATGGTTCATAATGATTGTTAATAAAGATTAAACTTCCGACGCCCTACAATAAAATTATAGTTACTCATGTGGCCCTTTGAGAGAATTTATTGCCCATCCATGGTGGTTTCAATGTCTTCAGATCTGGAGGACATTTGAATAAAATGCTATAAAAACAGCACAAATCAATCTCTTATTTGAGCAAAATATAAATGAAAGAGGAAATTAACAAATAAATTGAGACAATTGCTATGTAATGTAATAAAGCCTGCAAAACATGTTTTATTGACTTATCGATAAGCAGGGCACTAAATTTCCAGTTGGATCTTTTTCCTTTCATATGAAAATCTACAAACATTTCTATTCCCAGAGACTGGCGGTGATATGTAGAGGACAATGTTATCAGCACTGAGTGAAAAACCAGCCTTGCTCTCTAAATGCAGCCGTTCCATCCT